AGAATTTCACAACAATCTCTGCCCGCTTGTAGCGGCCCATTTATTGAAAATGTAGAATCAGGACCTTTGTAATAACACCAAAATGTTTCAGTTATTTGATTTGTACAGAACATGATTTGTAACCTTAATTGGTAGCCTTTTCAGTGGCAGTTTTTTCCCTAATCAGGCAGACTAGCAGAGATCCTTTAGGAAACAGTCGGTATTGCAACAATCGCTTTTAGCCTGCCACGATTACTTAAAAACACATACGCATGTGCTTTGTGACAAAGCACAAATAATGTTTCAGGCATTCGGCACTTTTTCGCTGGGGTGTAAATAGCAGTGGAAATTTTCCATAGGTTTCCTAACTTTTCACGCTTTTTCTTGACTAATCAGGCAGTCTAGCAGAGCTTTATTAGGAAGGCGGCGGCTTCTCTAAAAATGTCTGTTAGGCCGCCCTCGCCAGTTTTCAGCAAAATCCAGTATTAGCTGCTTTTAAAAGAAAATAAGATATGTTTCAGTTATGATGGACCTTTTTTAAAATCTGCAACCAGTAATCAGCACTGGTGAAAGGATTCCCATACACGATTTCGAAAATCACCATTTCGAAAAAGCACCAGTTGAAAAAGACCCGGTCATCAAACGGATATAAAAATTGCAGTGTCGAAAAACCATTATTTTTCTCGGATATGACTAGTGATGTCATAGAAATTGTTTTAGTGGTGTCCATAATGAAATCAATCATATCTCCAGTAGAAACCAGACCCCCGAACCACAAACCAGCCAACGAAAATCATTTTCTTCTGCGACTGGGAAATGGGCTATTGCTAACAAGGGAAGGTTTTTTTGGGTCAGGTGTCAAATCTTTCTGAAAATTGGCCAGTGGATAGAAAATTGAAAACGGAACAAGGTGCGCCAAGGCTTTTTCTGCACAATACCCCTAATTAAAAAGTTATAAGGATTTTAAGTTTGTGGTCTGTAAAATGAGTTCTGGGCAGGCTTTTGCACCAATACTGCACCGTTTCCACATTTTCTTCATGCATGATTTCTTGACCCTCTCTCATCTCCGCTCCCCACGTCTCTTCTAGCGCAATCGGTAGTGCGCTTGACTCACAATCTTTTGAAAAATTTTTGGCAAAGGTTCGAGACTAAAACTTTTCTATCCTTTTGGCTTTTGCTTTTTGCTCTTGCAAATTAGGGTTAGTTGGCATAAAATCCAAACAGCAAAAAGTTGGACGCATCAAAGACTTGAACTCGATAACAAAAATTTAAAAAGTTTTGCACTCTACCGCACTACCTACTGCGCCAAACAGCTTGCCAGTCCGGGCGACGCAAGAACTTGAAAAGGGGGCAGGCCACAATGAGGACCAGATCAGAATTGTCGGGTCGTTTCGTGCTTTTTTATGTAACTTCAAAGGCCTATAACTTTTTAATTTGGGGTATTGTGCAAAAAATGAGATTAAGAAACTCCACTTTATTTTTGATTTTCTATCCACTGGCAAAGTTTCAAGTCGATTTGACACCTGACCCAAACAACCTTCCCTTGTAAATCCTGTGTTTCCCAAATGGTAATTTTCGAAATGGTGTCTTTTCGAAATGGTGTCTTTTCGAAATGGTGTCTTTTCGAAATGGTGACTTTCGAAATGGTCTTTTTCGAAATCGTGATTTTTCGAAATCGTGATTTTCGAAATCGTGTGCGCCAACCGGTGACAGATATCCGACTTTTTAAGCTTCTACCTGGCGATGAGGACAGGCTAGCAGTAATCTTTTAGGAAGAGTTCTTCAAAAATCTCTGCCAGCTACCCGCCCCGATTGCTTATTAAAATTCAGGATTAGGTGCTTTAGCAAAAAGCTGCATGCTATGTTTCTGATGTATTGGACCTTTTCTAAAGCGTGTGACCATTAATGAACATTTCTGGCAGATTTTCTAAAATTTTACACCTTTTCCTGGCTAGTCGGGCAGGCTTGCAGGGGTCTTTTAGGACGAGTTTCTTAAGAATCTCTCTTGGTCTGCTCCGTTTGTATTTCCTAAAAAACAGGATTAGAAGGTATAAAAATGTATCAGATATTCGATACTTTTACTATGCACAGCGGCCCGGCTCCTAATAAAACGTCCGGTAGCTTTGGATAGGAAGGAAGACCGCAACGCGTGCGATAGACGCGTCGCGCAATTGCGAAAGCAGGCCTGCGCAGCTAAAAACTAAAAAACACCCGCACGCGACGCCCGAAAAACACGTACAGTACGCCCTTTCCCTTGAACCATCTGGACCGAACCCATGGGCGGTTGTCTATGGGATCTAAGCAGCGATTAACAACTTTCGCATATTTGTTAACTTTTCACGCCACTTCCTGGCTAACTGGGCAGGCTAGCAGAGATCTTATAAGAAGGTTTTCTCAAACACTCCTGCTAGCCTACCAATCCGTATTTCGTCAAAAAAAATCGACGGTTGGACCCTTTTGTAAAAACGTATGTTTCAAATATCCTGGCTCTTGTCGAGAGTGTGTGGCCATTAATTAACAGGTGTGACAGGTGTTCTAAATTTTTACACCTTTTCTTGGCTATTTGGGAAGCCTAGCAGAGATCGTTTAGGAAGTTTCTCAAAAAAATCTCTCCTAGCCTGCTCCATTTGTATTTAAAAAACCAGGTTGTTTGTAAAAAACCATTTGTATTTAAAAAAAGTTACGAAAATTGTTTTGGATTTTAGGTACTTTTTATACGCGGTGGCAGCAGCAATTGGCAAGATTCGCATATTTGTTAACTTTTCACGCCAGTTCCTGGCTAGCCGGGCAGGCTAGCAGAGATCCTTTAGGAAGGATTTCTCAAAAATTCCCTGCTGGCCTACCACTTACCATATCGTTCAAAAATAGAGGATTAAACTATTTTTTGAAAATGTATGTTTCAAATATTCTGGCTCTGGCCGTGAGTGAGTGGCCATTAATTAACAAATGTCCCAGCTTTTCTAAATTTTTACAGCTCCTCTTGGCTATTTGGGAAGCCTAGCAGAAATCGTATAGGAAGTTTCTCAAAAAATTTCTCTAAGTCTGTCCCTCACCGTTTCTCAATAAAATTCAGGATTAGCTGCTTTTGAATCAAGGGAAGATATGTTTCAGAAATGCTGGACCTTTTCTAGAGTGTGCTACTATCAACTATAATAAAAAAGTTGTGGTGTCTGTCCGGTCCCGAATTCAACTCGAAGGGGGGGAAGGAGCTAGAGCTTAGCTCTCTTCGGATTCGGATAGAGCGTGGTCAGAAACCCCCAAACTGATAAAAAAATTATGAAAAAGTTTTAGTTTAAATTGTTAAAATTAACTTTGAAAGTTTTTTTCCTTAGTAAAAGGGGTGGGGGTCGGAGGTTGGGGCGATTTTGGACATAGTGAGCCAGGTGGCGCGCGTTTCGTGGATGAAAATTTTCACGGGGATTTCATTTATTTTTTTCTCTCATTCCATCCGGTCGGTCGTTATTTTCGTTTTTAAAAGGATTTTGGCTAGGGGAGGTATCTAAAGTCTTCAGGGAGGTATTTAGGTAGTTTTTGAAGGGTTTTCGGCTATGGGGGGCATCTGAAGCCTTAGCGTGGGTATTGTTGGAGGTAGGGAAGGATGTGGTGGAGTAGAACATGTAGGGAAGCCCGAAGGCCAGATGGTTGCAGTCGCGAAGCGACTGTAACCATCTGGTTAATTAACAATCCCGACATACCTTAAAAAATCCATACTCGTTTCACTATTCAGGCAGACTAGCAGAAGACTTTTAGGAAGCTGGTGTTCATTCAAAAAATATCTGCTAACCTGCCGCTTCCCGATTTAGTTAAATCGATTGAAGGATTTTTGAAAATATCCAAGGTATGTTTCAGATATGACTGTCCTTTCCTCGGTGTCTGACAATTAATTAGCACACCGCACAGATCTTATAACCCCAACCCTCTTCCTTCCTTCGGGCAGGCTAGCAAAGATCTTTTTGGGATGACGGCGGCTCCTCAAAAATCCCGGCGGGCCCGCCTCTGCCTTTCTTAATAAAATCCGAGATTAGATGCTTCTGAAAAAAACATGCCAAACTTTTAAATAAAAAAATCGAGGATTAACTATTTTATTTGAAAACGTATGTTTCAAATATCCTGGCTCCTGCCGAGAGTGTGTGACCATTAATTAACAGGGGTCACAGGTTTTCTAAATTTTTACACCTTTTCTTGGCTGTTTGGGAAGCCTAGCAGAGATCGTTTAGGCACGCTTTCCCAAAAAATCACTGCTAGTCAGCGCTCCGCCTTGCTGCGTAAAATCCAGGATTAACTGCTTTGAAACAAGTAAATTATGCATGTTTCACATATGATGGACCCTGCCTAGAAGGTGTTACCATTAATTAACACGTTGTGCATAGTTGCTAACATTTTACTATTGGGGCAGGCATTTTTCTCGAATTATGCAACGTTCCTGACTTTTAAAGATCGCCGCTTAAAGGCCGGGGTAAAAAGCCGCCTAGATGTAATGTAAAAATCCGAATAACCTGCCAAAAACAATTTTAATTGTAAAAAGTTTAATATTTGTTTCCACTCCATTTCCGGTCAAGGGTAATAGCTGGGACCTGTGGATACTGATGGTGGTCGTAAATAATACTTTCTTATATGATGAATTTCACAGAAAAAAACAAAAATAATTGTTAAAAAGTTGATGTTTCAGGGTTAAGGCACTTATTTTCGACTGAAAAACGCTTAATGATATGTGCCGCGTACCAATTTTTGGCTTTTCAAAGAATCGGGGTGTGTTGCGCCAATTTAAAATTCACGGTCACTGATAAGTAAACAACCTAATTTCATACAAGAATGTTATCAGTTCAATAAAATTTTTTATTCGGAATTGAGTTGCGAATTTTCAGATGTGCGATGTAATTAATAATTACTAATTATTAAAGCAAATAAATTTCATTTATAGCAATAACAATAACAATAAAAATGAAATGACAATAATATTAAATTCAGGACAACCGGCTGCGACGTCTTCTCATTGTGCCGCCGCAAAGGGGCAACTTCGG